ATACAAGCCACACATTTATGGTGTAAGCATATAGGCGAGTTTCCTCGCGGAAATTGTCATGTTAAATTTTACGTGTGGCATGGACCGAAAATTTTCTTCGTTTTGTCTATAATCTGATACATAGAAGACCGTTATATAGAGGTACAGATGCATTTAAAACTGAAAATTACCTTTCCTGGCTTTTATATTTGTAAACTGACATATCAATTCTCTTATATGTAAGAGCCGAAATTACTACAAAAAGCAATTTGTCAATAAAAGGTTAGTCAAAGAGAATTAAAACTGTTTCCCATGGAATCGTTTACATGTTAAACGTGACACATTCAACACCCGGAATCCACGAGTGTAATTTTAACTATTGACCCTGATGTACTAAAAACTTTAGCGAGGATGGGGGAAAAACCCAGGAGAAGCCCACTACATAAAGGAGGAAAGAAAGACAAGCGAGGCAGTCGTCATCAACTCGATTTCTAAGGTGTGTGGTTTCTGAATCATTGTAGTAAAAGTGGTCGCCAGTTCCTCGATTGAGTCATCCAGTATCTAATTAATTTGCAATCGTCGGATACCTGTGGATTATACGGATTTATCCTTCCTGTATATCATCTAATTCATTCTTACAGATTACCTTCCGGAGACCTGTACTAGGAACTACAGTCGAGAGCTATCTCCCATTCAACCCATTTGGCTTGCATCATATCAAGATCCTCGACTTCTCTATAATCTTTTTATAGATATTTAAAAATAAATAAAATAAATACGGTAAAAATGTAAATATATTATACATAAATACTGATTCGAGAACGCTTCAAATTTATACAAATAATGTTCATGATGTCTTTAAATCATTTCCAGATAAGTTTGATTCTAGCAACTACCTCAAAAAACGTAAATTATATAACGTAACAAACAAAAATAAATCAGGATATATTAAAAATGAAACATCAAAACCAATAATATTGTAGAACTATGTTCATTAAAACAGAAAATGTATTCTCATACAGTAATATCTCGGTTTTCATTGATTTCGGTTATTGTCGATTTTGGTTTTCGTTGATTTTTTCGCAGAAAATTTGTCTTGGTTTTTGTCGGTGCCTTAGTTTTCATCAGCATGCCCACGTGATCTCGCTGCTAATTTTGCAGTAACAAAGGGCTACTGACGCGTTTTCCTGCTCGATGTGGCGTTATTATCTGTGGTATGAGCATTACCCCGTGTGATTAGCCAAACAATTAATTCCATTGCTTTTCTTTTCTTTTAAATCCATCATAGAACCAAAGACAGTTTTCAGAGCCAGAAGCCCTTCGAATGCAATGTTAAATGCTATGTCACTGTTCATTTATTCTTTACATTACTCTTTTACATTCATTTTATATTAAACACTTATTATTTTTAGTATTAATTGCAATATTTATGCTCTATAAAATATGTTTTTGGTATGCATTTTGCAGTGTTTAGAACGAATTAATTGGATTTACATTGATTCATTTGGTAATAATTGCCTCGGTTTTCATCGGTTTAGGATTTTCGTCGATTGTTTTCAGAAAGATTGTCGACGAAATCCCAGGTATCACTGTACTTTTGACAATCAAAATAAAAAACAGCTAAGGTAATTAAAAAATTGATTGTAAGAACTTCCAATTACAAAAACGTAAAGAAGTTTTATTCAATACAAAACTGTTAAGACAGCAACAATATGGAATAAAAAGTAAAAACCATTTTGTGACAACATATCTTCAGAACAAAATATTTCTTTCTTCATTTTATGATAATAAAATTTATTTCTGATAATGGAAAATATATGATACTGTTTGACCATTACAGCTTTTACTTTTAATTCTAACAGATTACCTGTCATCATCGCCTTCTCAATATGTATACATATTGTTGTACAAGAGAAAACAAAATTCAAAAACTTGTTTAATACATGCTGTTTCGAATAAAACATATCTTTGTTTATAACAAGTTGTGAATAAAGCTGGATTATTTAAATTACCACAAAATATTTCATATTTTGTGGTAATTTAAGTTACAATATATAAAAATATATTGTAACTTTAAATTCGTATTTTTTACATGAATTCACTTGTGACATCAGAACAGAAGATAATACAAAAAGCGCGACCATTTTACAATAAATGGGGACAAATAACGAATACAGCACATGGGCAATTAAAATACATTAAATGTGAATTTTGTTGAAAAATGAGAGCACATGCAAGATGTTGGATAAATCGCGTATCATGAATCCTGCTACAATGAGTGTATGCTCTTTTAATTAGTGCTCTAAACGCTGCTAGTTTGTAGCTTGTTGGGTCATGAGAGGACCATGGTATCAAATCCGGAACGTACGTCGGTTTTCTATATACTTTCGTATTGATTACCCCTTCTTTATCTACTTCGAACTCTTTATCTAAGAAATGTATTCTTATTTGATTTTGCTGCTCTAGTTCTAATTCCAGGCCATAATTATTGCTGTTTATATCTCTAATAAATTGGCATATGTCTGGTTTATTATTCCAAATAATAAATACGTCGTCGACGTACCTTGCATACATTATCATACTATCTTCATATTTCTGCAATACGTTATTTTCCAGAGATCTTATTACCATCTTGAGGCCAGTAGTGGATAAATGCTGTGCTCCTACGATATTATTAGAACGAAAGCTTAAGGAATGTATGCAAGGTATGATAAGTATGATAATGTATGCAAGGTACGTTGACGACGTATTAATTATTTGGAATAATAAATATTATTTCGAACTTAAACTTCGAAGCTTTTAGTTCAAAATAAACGCATTTCTTTCGTTTTTTCAGTTTTAAGTATTTTTTATGTATTTTTTTATGCTTAATTACATCATAATTAATAACAGGTGGAGTTAAGGGGTTAAATTAAGAAGTACTTCTAATTCTGAAATTATATAAGACATAAAAAAAAAGTATTTTTCACAATTGAAGTGTGAAGACAAACAGCACTTACGACATGTTTTCCTTAATACATTATTTGTATATTATAAATTTTCAATTTTTCTTCCAATTAAATTTATTTACGCGAAACAAATAGACACACTGAATAATGAAAATAGTAAGGTTGAAACTTTGCACTTTTCAGTTCAGCAATAAATATATTTATTTGCTATTGGAATACTGATTATTAAACACAATATCTATAAAAATATAATAATGTAATCAGATGTTTTTAATAGTCCGTATAGTACAAATCGAAATTCAAAACAATTAAACTATAAAATAATGTTTTCAGTACAATTTTCTCAGGCCCATTCCATATTGAGTTCGAAGGGGGCAATGAACCAGAAAGCACAATACAAGGGTCGAAGTTTTCAATGAATTTGTTGTATGATAACATTGAAAAAGCTTTGAAAACTAAAATATCATACTCCTTCGAAAAAAATTGTCCGTTCCGTGTAACATTCATTTTATTAAATTTATTTAAAACAAATTTTATGGATAAATCCTGAAAAGTTTTACTATAAAATGTTTTTAATTTTTCAGATTTTTCTGAAAGATTAAAAACATTCTGTTTCCCGAAAGGTTTTCTAATCTTTCGGGAAAACAGAACCTTGCAACACGACTAAGGAAAATCAATATTACGAATGGTTTCTTTGGTATTTTCAAAGTTTATTTATTTTCTTAGCTAAATTTGTACATTTAGCAATTAGAATGCTCATCTTACACTGTTTTTCAGAATGATATTTACTGATAGTTATTAGCTAATTTTTCTTATTTCTTGTTTTTAATAAATAAAATTATGAAATACTGGTTTTCATCTTGAAGGATTAAAGAACCAATGACATTGATAAAATACACTGTTAGAAAAATTACGAATCATGATTAAAATATAGTAGTTAAAACAAATATATCCATTTTTTAAAAATTAATAGACTCAGAAATTTGTAGTGCCACAACACATTTTTTTTTAAATGTCGTAAAAGGAGAAATGGGATCTCAAGGTTTCTTAAGTCACTATTTTTATCGTGATTTTATTAATATTGATTTAAGGCATGAAAGTTGCTTTTTTATTCTCAATCCACGATATCTAAATGATACTTAAAACACTTTTAATATCGTTTATTATCCTTGCTTTTGATATTAATTTAATAAGAATATAGTTTCGTTTCTTGTTTAATTCGTGCAGTTAGAAANCTATGTGACAAGAAAGTAATAGTATTTTTAAAATAATTTAACTTAATATATATGATCTTTGTTACAGATTAATAATGTCTAACGCCCCGTATGTCATACTTTTCCTGTCAAAAATGATTTGTGACATTCATCGAACACTTTTTATGCCATTTAACGTGTTTTAGGTTTAAAACAGAATATTCTTATTCAGTTAATCTGGTGTTTTTCCTCTTACGCTATACGAATCTGGTTTCGGCATTTATCAAACTAACACCTTTCTTGAGATTATAATAAGACAGTGACATAAATACACAGATAATGGTGTGAGTTTACAAGTATACAATTTTTATCAAATTGTAGTCCAACAAAAAATTATGTAAAGCTTGTATTAACTCACATTTCGTAAATTTCATGTGTGAATGGAAAACTCTTCCTCATTGCATATGCTTCCATAAAAATAAAAAGGTTGTCATTCGAGAATACAAAGTTGTCTAAATCATTTCCAAGTTTCTTTTTTAATACATAATCAGCGTATATTAAAGCGAATTTTTCTTTCTGTACTCTTTCAATTGCTTTGTTTAATTCCATAAAGTTGTTGTTTTGTATTATATGGTCTGTTATGATTTTCGCAGATTTTAACTTGGAATTCTAGAAAATTACTTGACATCATATAATATATAATATACAACTACTAATAATAAGTTATACATTAATTTTATATTATTTCCTCACTTACCTGAATAGTTTGCCATAAAATAGCTGTACTGGCTACTCCACAAGAATATTCCCCTGTTAGTATAAAATTTGCTAACTCATCAAAAGTGTTTGGAACTTTTTCAGTAACAGGATATGTCATGAACTACATTAAAGTCCCGCTATAACTAGATCCTAGAATAACGATTTCATAAATAGAATAACATATTCCAATCATAAATCTGGATGGAAACCTTTTCATGCAATTCAAATTTATTCCTTCATATACAAAATTCTTTGGTAGAAGAAAATCTGATAATTAAGTATTATACGAAAGTAAATGAACATACCTTGATATACGAAACTTCGGAACAAATTCCAGAAAACCTTACTTCTTGGCCAAAATACTTCTATATCTTGTAATGCAAAGTCTCGTTCTAACACTTTGTGTAACACTAGTCCAAACACAATGACGGTTATAAACATAGCGATCCATATCTATAAAATTGAAATACTGCTATTATGATCAATTTTTATAACTGAAATAACAATTACTTGCCATATAGGAAAATGGAGCGATAACGGAACTCCAATTAAGGATTTTTTCAGGTTTCTTCACAATGAACACTCCAGACTGATATCCTACCACTGCAGAAAACTTCATGATTGAATACAAATCGAAATTAATAAAGTTTGAAATGATTCCCATGTCCACTTCCTAATAATTGAGAAATTAAATATTATTACATTTCAGTAATGAGTATAAAGTAATTTCTTACAAAGAAATAAATATAAATATTTATATAAATATTAATTTTTCTACTAAAACATAAACCTAATCTACACTCATACTCATAATAACATCCATGCATAAAGGTCAATAATTCTCAATGTTTCAAAATATTTTGAGTCTAATGATGTAAAAATTTTGAAGGAACAATTTTGATTGATTTTGATACTTTTTCTATTTTATACAACAACCAAAAGTAAAACATAATTCTATAACATAATTTTCTTAATGAATTTTGAAGCCTTTTTTATCGTCTACATAATGAAGTTTACAGTCATCCACAGATTTGCGTATGCACAGTTTTGTCTACATAACATTTCGAATGATACTAATTCATAAATTTAAAATATAACACTTAGCTATAAGTTGTGTACTATTGTGTAAAAACATAGTATGCATTGAATATAGGTTTTCTTCAGAGAAAATTGCTGATACTCTTTTATTAATGCTGTTAATTAAACCCCTTAATAACAGTGTATTTTAAAATGGCCTTAAGCAATACACAGTATTTATGTTAAGTAAAAACAGGTGGTAAAGCCAAATTCAGTTTCGAATATGAACAGATTTTATTGAGGGAAGATTGCGCATTCAAATGATTGGTGCTATTAAATTTTGGTAGTTAAATGTTTCAGAGAAAGTTTTGCAATTCGTTGCTGCATTTTTATAGTGTTATTACAGTATTATTCGAGTAATTGCATACGTTTAACTATATTCTATAAGAACCCTCAAAAATTTACATTAATTTTACATAACGTACTAAAAAATTACATAAACCTTTTATATAATCTATATATATAATCGAGATGGGTTGATAACAATAATAAAAATTATCACAGAACCCAAATTGTTAGGAGTTGAAGTTGAAATTTGGTACACAGTTAGGGTACGTCACAAAAATGCACACTAAAAAGTAATTTTTCGATATTCCAATCACAGAAGAGAGGTTTCTAACACTTTCTTTCGCGGGGGAAAGTTTTAACAATGGAAATGTTAAGTAACAATGAAAGTGTTAAAAGAAAGCGGCGTGCAAGATTAACAGGGGCAGATGCAGATTTCGCGTTTTTGTGAGAAATCGAACATATTTTTAAACCTATCTAACAGTTCTAAAAACAAAAAGACATATTCTTGCATTTTTTAAAAACGGGTAACATTGGCTATAATGTAATAATCTTATTCTTCGCTGTCGTTACTTTTTGCCCAAGCAACGCTGGACTTATTTGCTAGTTTCTAATAACTTTGTTAATTATGTAAACTGTTTTCAAAGACACCAGGATTAAGAAAATACATTTTGTATTTCATAGAATTATATTTGAGGTAAATTACTGTTTGGAAAAGAAACATTGAAATAACCCTAAGAAAATAAAGTAAACTATTAAATGCTATTAATTGTTAGGTTGTGTTTATGCAGATGCAAAAAATCGAAGAAATGAAAGAAAAACATATAAAAAATTCAGTAAAGCAGAGTCACGCTCATGAAAAGTACTCTTTCTTCTCCTAATAATAAATTTTAAAACAAATAATACTAAATATGAAACAAAAATTCTACTACTGAAAAGTGAAATTGCAACAATATGCAAACAATTCAATTCACTTTCGCATCGAGTCATGTGATACCCAGTTTTGAACGAGAAAAACTAGTAGCTACCCAGGATGTTTACGCAAATCATTTGAAACAATTCCATAAAGTTAGGCTTTATGCACGGAAACCTGCAATGGAGTGCCATTAACTGCTTGACACAGAACTGCACACTTAGCGCGGAGTTATTGTTATCACAATTGGACCACTGATTAATATCGGGTATTGTTTACAGGTAAATTTTTTTTCTCTGTCTTGATGAATGAAAGCCTTGAACAAATATGACTAGGTGCCTGACCGTTTACTTGAGTGTTGCACTAACCCCAACCATTATTGTCATTATTGTTTGCTTAATTAAGCATCATTTTTCAACAGAGCGCAACTCTGCTGCACATTTACGGTACTCTAAATGTGAATTAGTATTTCACAAGAATTATCGGTACTGTGGTTCAGCCACTGGTGCAGACCGCACCTGATTTACTTTTCAATCAACACAATGCCGAACTGCACATTTCGTTGCAAACTCTGACCAATCTGAAGGGAAGTCTTATCTTTACGTCTCCGACAGCTTTGCCACATTTTTCTTTTATCGAACATTTCATTGCCACATACTGTGGACCAGTGGTTTTCAATCTGTGGTCTGCGGAACACGGGAGCTCCATGAATCCAGTTCAAGTGTTCCACAAAAATGAAATATACAATTAATTAAAAATTGTTGCTAAAGAAAAATTAATATAATGTAAACTAATTTTTGTATGGAAATGTAATAAGAAAACGCCAATGACGTCATATACTAGACCGAGCATGCTGTTGATTTTAAATGTTTTTTCCACTCCTGCTTTTAAACTGGTGTATTGAAAGTGTTTCGCGAAAAAAATATCGAAGTGTAGTGTTTCCCAACTTCAAAAAGATTGAGTACCACGGCTGTAGATAATATGTGAAACACATTGGATTCAGCCTGGCAAGAGATATCACAGGAAAACATTAATTTCTTCATTGCTTGCATGGCTTGTTTTTTAGCAGCATGTATAGCAGCCCTTAGTTGCCATATTCTTTAGTAAATAAACAGGTGTTTGTGGCAAATTCTTTGTTTGCTTTTTAACTGTACGCATATGTGCTTCGACTCAGCTGATGCTGCAATGTGCACGTGGTTAAAAGCATTTTTTTTTTTGCTGTTACGATTTCATTGTTAGGGAGTATATATTAGCATTTCCTTCCTGTTGTTTTTGCTTTCCTTCATTATGCTTTTGTTAGTTTTGTAGCTTCTAGGGTGTTTTCTTCACATTTGACATATTGCCAGCATGTTTCATTATCGCCATTATTTTGCAGTTTTGCTCAAAAGCGACGAACTATTCTGTGTGCGCCAAGATAGAAAAGGTAAAAAGAACAAGAGAAAGTGCAAGAAGTTAAACTTTGAAGAAAGAAACTGGCAACACTTTCACACGTTATGTGCAAAATCTCTATATTTTTCTGTTGCTTAAACTGAATCATAAATTTTTAAAGGTGTCTTTTGCATGAATTTCCTTTTTATTGCGACTGATTTAAGACAGTCATATATTGGGTATGATGTTAAATACAAATTTCGTACTAAATATAACTATAGAAGGATCATTTTGCATTATAACTGTGAAAATAAATTCAAACTTGCTTTTCTGTAATATGTTAAAGTAAGTTTAAAAAATTTGCAGACTGACAATCTCTAACTAAAACGAAAGGAATTCTTGCACTAGATTCCAGAATGTAAAAACCATTATACAAGTTTTTTAGAATAAGAATAAAGTAAACATGAAAAAATACTATGATATCAATGCATCTGTTGAAAAATTAAATCACTTACCTGTCTTGTAATTTTTCCAAACATTTCTGTCCATGTTCCATTTTTGCTTAATTTTCCAAAGAAATCATCTACTGGCTTAGCTATGGAATAACTAATTGAATGCAAATAATTGTATTTTTGTTAAAGATAAGTTTTACAGTTGCAACTAAATTTATCGTAATTGGAAATATTGTACTAATATAAATGTTATAAAAAGTACCTCAATTGAAATAGAGTATTTACTACTTTTTAATAATTAAAACTAGAAAGTGATTCGATTAAATCAATTTGTTATAAACTTTTGGAATTAATTAATGGAAGCCAATATAATACACTTTCAATTAAGTCATAAGTTTTAAAACATTTATATTGAAAAATATTTTATAATATTATGTAAAGAAAACATTAGTATTTGAGTGAAATTTCTCTAAAGGTGTTGTTGTCAACGTTTGAATAAAAAATTTAATTAAAACAATCGTGTGCAATTGAATATGTGTGTCATATTCTCTGGAACTCGAAGATATAAAATGTTTTTAATTTTTCAGATTTTTCTGAAAGATTAAAAACATTCTGTTTCCCGAAAGGTTTTCTAATCTTTCGGGAAAACAGAACCTTGCAACACGACTAAGGAAAATCAATATTACGAATGGTTTCTTTGGTATTTTCAAAGTTTATTTATTTTCTTAGCTAAATTTGTACATTTAGCAATTAGAATGCTCATCTTACACTGTTTTTCAGAATGATATTTACTGATAGTTATTAGCTAATTTTTCTTATTTCTTGTTTTTAATAAATAAAATTATGAAATACTGGTTTTCATCTTGAAGGATTAAAGAACCAATGACATTGATAAAATACACTGTTAGAAAAATTACGAATCATGATTAAAATATAGTAGTTAAAACAAATATATCCATTTTTTAAAAATTAATAGACTCAGAAATTTGTAGTGCCACAACACATTTTTTTTTAAATGTCGTAAAAGGAGAAATGGGATCTCAAGGTTTCTTAAGTCACTATTTTTATCGTGATTTTATTAATATTGATTTAAGGCATGAAAGTTGCTTTTTTATTCTCAATCCACGATATCTAAATGATACTTAAAACACTTTTAATATCGTTTATTATCCTTGCTTTTGATATTAATTTAATAAGAATATAGTTTCGTTTCTTGTTTAATTCGTGCAGTTAGAAAGATTGTTATCGACTACATTTTCTGATATATACAGGGTAACTCTTTTGTATTTTGCTTTACTACTACTACTTAATCTGAATATTTATAACAAGAGATAAATTAGCTTAATATTATTATTATGTGTTATATTTTACAGCTAAAATAAACAACAGAAATTATTTTTTTAGAAAATAAATATTTTTATAAATAAGTGTAAATATAAGAATAAAATGTTTTTAAGTATTGTGATTAAGCTTAGAACAGAAACGTTCAAAACATTTACCGTTGTAAAATTCACAGGAGTTTCTTCCAGAAAAAAAGTCGATATTATCGCGTATGCTATTTCATAGTTTCTCAGATATTTCAGTAATATATTCTAAATTAATATTAATATTATACCAAAGTGAAATAATGAAACTTAATACGTCTTTATTGGTATGAAACATACTCTATATTTTTAAAATAGTTTTCATAGGATATCGTGGCTGTAAATAATTATAATGATGTGTATTTATTTTAACTTTTGCAATATCTTACAAAAACTAATCGTGCTGATTCATATTAATAAACAAGTGTACCTATTTATTTCTTCGAAAATTGATTTCATAATTTTTGTTGTTATTAAACATTTTATAGAAATAAATATATAAAACAAATTACGAGATAATTCTGAAAATACCTAAATTTTAGTTTGTCTTGAAGAGCTTTAAAAGCTCGGAAACGAATTCCTCCTGTCATTTTATTCTGAGATTTATCCATAGTCACGAAATGGGGATTCTTAAAATAACAGATCAATTGTTTATATGTATATAAGTAAATTATAAAATTACCATAGTATATTTTACCTTTATCGCAGCTAATTTCCATTCGTACGAATCATTTAGTTTAGCTGTAAATATAATATATATTGAAAAACAAATAATTGTATTTAAAAAACTATATAACAACAAATAAGAAATTGGTATACACCTCAATACTGATTACCCAATACCACAAACAAACATGCATAATCTTATGTTTATTAAAACAATAGTAGCCATGACAAAGATTTGAAAAAACAGAATGCTTTATGAATTTTAAAATTCGGATAAATACACTTCAAATGTAAAAATATATTTCTCGTTTTTATGTAGTGTATTCTCCTCAATAAGTACAGTATACTATTTTGCAGCTGTACTAAATTCTGTATATTTGATTTGAAAGACATGTCTTGTTTACAAAACAATCGAATAATGACACCCGTGATGCCGTACATTAAATTTAAATTCTACAATAATGAATGGGAAAAAAGTAATGTTTCTTGCAAAAATCAACTAAATATATAAATTTAATATACTAATAAAAAATCTATCGTTAATACTTTAAACAAGAGGCCTCCTTAACCTATGGTTAAAAGTTTCATTGATACTTAATCATTTTAATTAGTAAATAACTTAAAATATCTACTAATCTTCAATACAAACTTCAAGTTACAAAGTTATAAGGGAACACGAAAAACGTATCATTTTTACATAAAATACAATAATATTAAAACGAAAGTAAAATCAAAATTCATATTTTTTACCTTCATTCAAATAAATGTATTTGAAAATCACAATAAGGAAGAAAAAGATCAAAATGACTTTCACTTCCGACTGAGTTTACTCTGAATAACCAATGATTTTCCTATTCGATATATAAATGTTATAAATACCTGACATTGTTTACATATTGTCGTTATAGAAATAAAATATAATTTGAAAATATTTTTTTCTACATAGATGAGATGTAATTTCATACAGAGAAAGTAAATTATTTTAAAAAAATTCAATGTATTTTTTTCGAGAAGAATGAATGTTACCCATTTTTCTTTAAATGACTAACTGCACATTAAAATTGTAGTCAATTACACAGAAAAATGACACTTACCTAACCAGTTTTTTATTTAAAATTTGATAATAACATGGTATTATTTTATGTGTACATGTACCTCTGGTAACTGTACTTCAAGTACAATTTATTGGTAAACGTACAGGCTATTCTCTCATATTTTTGTTTTTATTTTCAATGCGAATTATTGTGTTTATAACCTGAAGTTTAGATCGCTTGTAAATGCTTTGCGATAGAAACTCTACTCATAAAAACAGATATATTCATAAATGCATTTTGACATAAATATACATTTAAAGAATCACAAAATAATATGTTAATATTAGCACGGTTGTTAATGTATATATTCATGATATAAAAAGTATTGTTACTCTTAATAATTATGATTTAATGGAATAAATAAACACGTACTTTGTTAATAATATATTCGGTTTAATTTTTCTTTGTTTGCTAATAAAGTTAAATTTATTAAGGAATATTAAAATAACTTTACAAAAAAATGTTGAACTACAAAAATAGTCTATATTCATAATCTAAACTCCATACAATTACAGAGAAAGTTTATCAATGTTACAAAGCTGTTTGAAGAGATTATGCTAGCACGGAACAACTGTAAAATATCCAGCAACAAGTTGCTTAATTTTTCTGGCAACAGTCAGTGGCATCATCTTTTACGATAATTATTACTAAAACGTTTTACATTTTTTATTATTTTAAAATGATGATAAACTTATTGTGGAAAGTGGGGATGAATTTTAGAAAAATATTGTTAATCCTAATAACTAATAAAATCATCATTAAGTCCGACCATACTAAACATACGGCATAGGATCCTTTATCTCCCTACTGTTTTGACGTTTAATTTCTAAAATTTAACGACACCAATACTTTTAATATCCAAATTTCCCTGCAAAATCTTAGAAATTTTTCGACAAAATGCATGAGCGTTATTAAGTTTGAAACATAATGAACAAAATTGTGCTACCCATACACACACAAACATTCAAACATTCGGTAAAAACCTCAAAATGTTTTGCATTTCTCTACGTTTCAAGATTTTTTGAATCGAAAAATGAAAAAAAACTTGAGGGAAATCTTTTTCTTATACGATCTCCATACTTTCTCTTTGTTATACGTATAGTAAAAATGCCTTAAAATTAAAAACTTGGTAACGAAAAATGATTTACATCATGGAATTTTAACATTAAAAAACACAAAAAATGTAAAATCTTCTGATGGTCAAATTCACAGTAAATAAGAAATTAGAAAAGTTTCCGTATAACCGTGATTCAGGTTGTGAACGTTGTATGTGCTACTTGTGTATGAAGGTAAGCAGTTATTTTGGAAACCATTTATAAGGTATTTGACAAGTCAGAACGCAAAAATTAATTTTATATCAGTTAATTTTCTTATAAAAATATATCAAATTATCAAAGGATTTCTGCACCTCTTCTAATGCATAGGGACCACGGTCAGTCCTGTTTTAAAAAAGACCAGGCTACGTAGAATTCCCCAATGATTTTGACCAACTGTGGCTATACCATTAATATGGCTGATACTTATAAGACCGTCATCTCGTAACTATTTCCATCTGACCATCTCACGGAGGATCAATACATCCATAGCATCGTTAAAGAATGCAGTTGTAAGCAACACTACTTTTGTCAATGGTAAATCTTTCTCTGCAAATGAGATCTTTAGAGAATTTAGTAACATCAAAAAGCACCAGGAGTGGGTGGTATTGCTTGGAGAATGGCCTAACATGCCTATATGGCGAATCTTATGACGTTTTAAGTTCTCTTCAACAAATGCTTGAGCTCTGGCTACTTCCCCAGGACTTGGAACGAGGCCTCTGTTAAACTGATTCTGAAAGACAAAAACAAACCTCCAAATGCTTCTTCAAATTACTGTCCCACCTCATTACTATTGATGGTTGACAAGGTCCTGGATGGTCTCATGGCGAATAGGATTTAACACCACTTAGAATCCAACAAATGGTTGGATAACTGTCAGTTCTGTTTTAGAAAGGACAGATGTTCTCTCAATCAATGGGCAAAATCGTGGACTATGTCCAGGCAGTCAAGGATACTTGGAACCATTCAATCATTGTCTCAATTGACTTTAAAGGTGCGTTTGACCGCGTCTGATGGCCAGCCAACTTATACTAACTAGCCACATAACATCCTAATGCTCCTAAGGAGCTACTTTACAAAAAGGTCAGCAATGGCCATTGAGAAGGGAAAAACACTATACAAGACTGCCATCTACAGGGGTTGCCCACAGGGCTCGAAATCTGGCTCCCTCCTCTTGATTATCTTGTATAACAGGCTGCTGAGGCTGTCTTTAGGCCATATCTCTATTGGCAACCCATACATGTAGGGTTACACCGTTGATACGTTCTCCCTCCCCTCAAGCTCCAATTAATTGACCCTGCAGAACCTAACTAACAATTTCTTAAAGGAGATCTACAAGTGGATTGTAAACCATTGTCGAAAAAACATCAACTACAGTGAATGTTGTGCCATGATTTTCCTGAAGGATAACCCCCTGAAAAAATCCGGTAATTAAAATTATTAATTACAGGATTCAAAACACAAATAACATCAAATATCTTGGTGTGCTATTTGACCCAAAATTTTCTTGGAAGGACCACATCTATTATATATGTGATAAAGCGACAAAAATGAACTTTTTACTCCAGCATAACTCTAGGAACGTCTGGGGCATAGACTACAAGTACAGCAAGATTATTTATAATGCGGCTATTGAATTTATCCTCACATATGGATGCGAGGTATAGAGTGCTCTGTTCAGAACGTGCATATCGGCAAAAAGCACCCACTGATGCCCTTTTTATCATAGCAGAGATGACCACACCCAATGGGTCATTCTGAAAAAATACCTGTTTCACAAGCTAAAGCAACTAGCTACATCAGAAATTGACATGGAGCATTTGCAGTCTCTAATTAAAAAGTTTAAACTGCCTGCAGACGTAAGTGTCCTAGGGAAATTCCTCCTGGATCATGGACCGGACATTAACTATGACTTGCATACTTATCATTCTGCTAATGACTCAGGCTCCAACATTTGCCTCCACCAATCCACAATCCCACAAGGTATAAACTACTACACCGATGAATCCAAATATCCAGGTGCAGTAGGCGCGTCTATTAAGCACGATGACCCAATGAAGAGAACCTGGCAAGGTGCTTATAGGCTGGATCTATCTTGCTCCATCAACCAAGCTGAGTCACTCTTCATCCTTAACACGCTAAGACATATCCAAGATAATATAACTGGTTACGACAGTAGAAACATCTACATCATAAGAGACAGTTGAGTCTCCCTTTACCAAATTCGTAAATGTAACTGCCACCTTTCCGTAATCAACAGTAGCTTAAAGATCCTATACGAAATTTCCGATACTGTCTACATAAAATTTTACTTGATCAAGAGCCACTCACGAAGCAGTGGCAATGACAATGCGGACGATCTGGCCAAAAAGGCCTCCTCAAGGCCTCCTCTTTATCCATGGTGTGTAGCCAATCCTCGATCCCGCTGTCCTGGGTTCAAGTAAGCTGGACTCAATTCTAACGTCTTGCTGGCAGAAGGAGTGGGATGAAAGCCTGACAGATTGTCTCACCCACAACTGTTTTCCAGCTTCTCTTGTAGGATCAGCAAACACCGTTTTATTATCAATCACATCGTGACTTAAATGCTAACAGTACACAGCAACTTCAGAGCCTATTTCTATAGATTCTTGAAAAAGGGGAACAGTTTGTGCCTCTGTGATACTGACGAGAATGAATATCCAATGCACCTAATATTCATCTGCCTGGTTCACTCATGCTAGCATGCAAACCTTCATAAGACTATTGTGGAACATGGGT